AGAGAGAGAGAGAGAGAGAGAGAGAGAGAGAGAGAGAGAGAGAGAGAGAGAGAGAGAGAGAGAGAGAGAGAGAGAGAGAGAGAGACCATTCTGAGACCATTCTTCTTCTTCTTCCTCTTCTTATTCTTCCATTTCTTCATCTTTTCTCTTTTCCCGTTTGAGAAAGAGTGAGAATTGACACGGATGTTTCAGGACCATAGCTCCCAGGTTTGAGATCCGGTGACATATTGATTGGAGGCGAGCTGGAGGGGTAAGGTGTAGGTCCTGTCCAAGATATTATTCTTCGAGGCTGTCATACAGTGGTTTTCTACTGTTTCTTCCGTCTTCCTCCATGTCCCATCTCACCCTCGTCTGCATATGGTTTGAGCAGGGAGCTCTCTTCTACGCTTTAGACCCCCTCCTTGCTGAGTGTGAGCTCAAATCCGTGTCGTCACGTTCCCACTTGATGCATTGTCAGGTCAGTTTGTGCATGCATGACTTCAGTCCTCTACGTTGCTGCACTGTGTCTCTCCCCATGTTGACGATTCTTGGACTTACATCGCGGACTGTTCATCCAGGCATGCATCAGTAATTCAGACAAATTCTGGAGACAAAACAGGCAGAGATCGGCCTTTTGGCTAAGATCAAGTGTAGTATCTGTTCTGATCAGTTTAATATCTGATCCGTGACCCATCGGGTCATTTGAAAAAAAAAAAAAAACAGGCAGAGAACGAAGGAAGCGGCAGCAAAGGGATGTGTTATGGGAGTTCGTTTTTTCACTTTTTCTTTATCTGTTATGGGAGGTAAAGATAGACTCACTTTATATTCTCACGATGAGCAATTGTCGTGTTGATGAACTCCTGGATGGCTTTCGGATCGAAGTTGACATTTGTCAGCGTCGCAAAAATTGCCTCCTGAACATAGCTGCAAAATGCAATATGCACACACACACACACACACACACACACACACACACACCCACACACACACACACAGCAGTCGGAAACCAAATTCAGTCGCCATAGACCACGTCAGCTGTGGCCAAGTACGACTCCAATCATCAACCAGTAAATAAAATAGAATCTTAGACAAAGCAAATCCCATTGCAGACACTGCAAGAATGCAAGGGCATATTGGCGAAAAAGAATCTTAGACAAAGCACATCCCATTGCAGACACTGCAAGAATGCAAGGGCATAATGGCACACTGTTACATTGTGTGCCCACAATTGTCACCCTACACTACATTGTATAACCAACATGCTCTCACAATTGTAAATATCCCACATTCGTCACACCCACAACCCGTCAAGCATTAAAAGTCCTGCTCTCCGAATTATAGAATATCCACATTTGTCACACCCACAGTACGTCACGCATTGAAAGCCAAATCCCAACATACAATCCTAGACACAAATCAATCATTCCAATTTTCCACAACAACGTCTT